GCATAAGATACACCAGAAAAAGTAGAAGCACCAAGGAAAAGCAGACAGTCATTTCAATGTAGGGAGTCAGGGCAGTGCTTCTTGCCTGGTGCAGTTGACCCAAGAAAGGTGGAAGTGCACTACTGAAGGACAGGGGAGGGAATTCATATCCCAGAACACATCCCCCACCTTATTTTCTGCCCTTGACAAAGAACGTTCTGAGGATGAATGTATTACTGTAATAACTGTACTGAAATAGCAGCAGTGCGTAAGACAGATTCTGTTTCTACAAAAGTTGATACACTATATATCTTTTTAATTAACAGATTTTAACCTTAACATTATTGGGTTAATAAATAGATGTCCTTTCTTAAGCACTTGTCCTTAGGTTGTTTTTCAATAATATCTTCTTGATTATCAAAGGCAAGAAGTAATAGAGTTGATTAGCTGTAATTAAAGGAATGGAAGGAATGTTTATGAAAAGTTAATTAAGCCACTGTCAATCTAGAGTTTATGGCATAGTCATTGTTTTTTATATTTTCTAGCCTTTATATACTAAATGTATGAGCGTAAGCTATTCTTGGATTTATTATAATTCAGAATAAATCAAGAAAAGGCTATGATGTATAATTTTCAGACTTGGCCAGTTAAAAGTAAGAAGGAGTGAAATATACATATTTAGACTGATGATGTGATTGTAACAGATTTTTGAAAATCCATTTACTGAAAATTGCTTATGATTAGTTGGGTTTTCTTCAGTATTAAAATATTTTATATAAAAATAGGTTTATAATGCCTTGTGGAAAATTATAGAACTGTTTCAAGAGTCTTTATTTTTTAAACAGATATTTTAAGGATTTGTTTTAAATTCATATCAATGTTTAAATGTGGATTTTTAGGTTTCTTTTTTAGTTCACATATATAGCTAGATGATGTTTTACAAAGTTAATACTTGGTCTTTTGGCAAGGGGATTTCCATGATGGAATTTCAGACGCTATTAGATAATACTTTTTGAAAGCTATAACTTCTTGTTTTCTGGTTAGAAAGTAAAGTAAGGAGATTTTCAGTTCTTTTTCCTGGCATCTAGTTTCCAAATTGCTTTTCTTTTTA